TGGTCCCAGCCAGCCTGGAAGTCACTATGTGGACCAAGTTGGCCTCGATCACCCAGAGATCCACCTGCCTCTGCCTCCCAAGTGCTGGGCTTAAAGGCGCATGGCCCCACTCCTGGCTTTATTTTTATTTATTTTTACTCCTCATGGCAAAACAAAGAGAATATGTGACTGCTAATACTGCATCATGGTGCAGTGTGATATGGTCTGTTTTGTTATCAAATTGAAGGGCAGAGCATTATATGTAATGTGATGATACTGCAGCTCTTCTAAAGGAAGAAACACCAATAGACTAAGCATTGTAACAATATTCCCAACTCAAAAAGTGTAAGTCAAAACAATTAAAGTATGTAAAATGGGATGCTTCATCATAATGGAATTAATTTATAAAAATTATAAAGTGATGTATGTGGTGGCACACTTTTAATCCTAGCACTCAGGAGGCAGAGAAAGACAGATCTCTGTGAGATCAAGGCAAGGCTGGTCTACATAGCGAGTTACAGGCCTGCTGGGACTACAAAGAGATCCTGTCTCAAATACATACATATATATATATACATCAGGAGAGAGGCAGACAGAGCTCTTTGAGTTCAAGGCCAGCCCGGTCTACATAGTGAATTCCAGACCAGCTGGGACTACTGGGAGACACTGGCTCAAAAACAAACAAGAAAGAAAGAAAGAAAGAAAGAAAAAGAAAGAAAGAAAGATGAAGCTATAACAATGTAAATTGCTGAGTTGCTTACTTGTTAGCCAGCCAAAAAAGTTGCTCGCCAATGTTGATCAATTAAATTAGGTATGACTGCAGAAGCTGAAGTGCTACAGCCAGAGAAAGTTCCCTACACATCATCAACCTTTCAGTGAAAATAACTGGAGTTGGTGACACGGAGAGCAACATTAACAGCCATTTTTAAAGGACGTTTTCTTCTGTCAAATACCCTTGCCTTTTGACAAACTGATGGAAATTACCAAAACTAAGTTGTTCTGATTTATTTGGGGAGTCAATGCCAAATTTGAAGAAAATGAATTAGCCTCTAAGTACAATCTACGCAGAACAAACATAGACAAAAATATTCCCAGGAAAGTTCAAAAACATTAACTGAAGTAGAATTTGCTAAGATTTACTCCAAATGATAGTATAAAATATCTTTGAAATAAGGAAGAATTGTTGAAGTGGATAAAGCTTTTTAAAAATGCAAGGTATTTTTAAAAGTAAAGTATTAGAAGTCTGTGTTTGTGGAGTATTATTTCTCAGGAAGTACTCTGTATAAAATAACTGTTAATGGTGTTATATCTGTTCTATTAGGGTAAACAACACCAGTCCCTTGATTTTTTTTCTTAGATGTAAAACTAAATATCCTGATTTATAGAGCAATTGCATGCCTTAATAGTGGTTAAATTTTATTTTAATCTATTAAGCTCAGGACTGAGAATGAATTTGTTTCTAAATGAGAAAAATCATTCTTAAAATTTTTCATTAAATAATGAATTTTAGAACGAGTTCTGCTGTAAGTGGTATTTCTGAATGAATTCAACTTAAAATTACATCACAGAATGGTAAATGTATGCAAAATTAACACTGTAGCAGTTATTCAGAAAAGGAGAGAGAAAGAGGGAGGCGGAGGAAAGAGAAGGAAGGAGGGAAGGAAGTAGAAAGAAAGAGAAAGGAAGGAGGAACAAAGCTATATCTTATATAGTATATATATGTATATCCCATATAGTTTTAAAGCAAGGTTGTTTCTGAATAAACAATGATAAATGAATAACATATATTGAGATCTTATCATAAACCAAATAAAACATATTGAAAATATGTAGCATTTTATCATCAGAGTAACACTATTAAAGGCAGTATTTTTATTTCCATCAAGGAAAATGAATCTCAGAGGAGTGAGGAAATTCATTTGTGGTCACAAACTTGATAAATGACAGAGATTGGATCAGAATACAAGTCTGCCTGTCTCTAAGCCCACATTCTTATTAATGATCAAAAGTGCTAATCAATAAAAATATGGTGCATTTTTAAAAACAAAAATAAATACATAAAAGACAGTAGTAACTACCATGTAATTTTAAGTTTTCTAAAGCCAAATTAAAGTTATAAAGGGAAGCTGAGTAAATAAACTTTAACGTACATTTTACTTAGTCTAATCTATCCAAAATATAATTCTAGCATATAACCTTAAAATTATTCATTAGATACCTTCTATGAATCTCTCATACCACCTTTGGTCCCTGGTACACATTTTACTCTTTCAGCACATCTCAGCTTGGACTAGCCTCTCAAGGTCCACGGGACTACTGATTACTGCAATAGATTATCACTAGACCATTCATTAGTTTAGCTGATATGCCTTTGAACTGCTGTACCCCAGACAACAAAGTAAGGAGCATGTGAAACAAAGGCCTGTTAGAAGTGTTAGATTCCTTAGAAAGAAATAGCTAATAAAAAACTTGTAAATAAGCAAATGCCAGACAATGGTAAGTGATATGACGAGAAAGAATTAGTACAATATAATTGAGAGAGTCTGGGTAACTGCTTAGGATTGGAGGAACCCCCTCATCCCCCTAAAGAGGCAACATTCTGAGGTATCTAAAACTTTCTTTGAGCATCATGCACTATATGGAAAGGGTGACGGATGCTGCAGCAAGTAGCACCTTGACAGCTTTGACCAGCACTGCTAGTCCACAGAGTTCTAGTCTGCTCTTCGGTGTCGGTCACTGTCCCTGTGTTATAACATTTGTGTATGTGCTTAATGCTCCATTCATAAAAACGACTTTGATAGTCACCTTCTTCTGTTGTTGAAAATTTTAGTGAAAATGAAGCCTGCATTATTTCTAGTGCAGACTCAGTGGGAAAATACATGACTTAAAATATTACACATGATCAGAATAAAGACCAAGAGGAATGAAACATAACAACTGAATTTCTTGAGTACCTTTAGCTTCAACATATTTTATACATCTGTACCCTTTTAAAAGCCTGTCCCAGCACTTGGGAGGCAGAGGCAGGTGGATCTCTGTGAGTTCAAGGCCAGCCTGGTCTACATAGTGAGTTCCAGGACAGCTGGGACTACAGGGAGACCCTGCTTCAAAAAGACCAAAACAAAACAAAACAAAAAAAGTTTTTCCAATCATTCAGGGATATTGCTGCTTGATTTATGCTTATACTAACCAATTAAGGAATTCTTTGTCATACCAAAATCACTAAGCCACTGGACTAAATCCATAGCATTAAAACTGAATGCAATTATTCTACTTTAAAATATGAAGGTAAGCACCTCCTTCTCTTGAATTAATACTCCAAAGTATTCAATGTGGAGGAAAGGAGCAATGAACATGCAGCTTTCAAATGATAATCAGAATGGAAAATGATAACCGAGTGAGAAAAGTCACACTTACCGTGGACAGTCAGTTTTAGGTCCTTGGCTTGCTTGCCCGCTGCGTTAGACACAGAGCACTGGTAGCGCCCCTTGTCACTTCTTCGCGCATTCCTCAGATGTAAAATCTGCCCTCTGTCTAAGAGTTCAATATTAGGATCTCCCAAAAATAAGGGCCTGAGAAGATAATTTTATTCCATTGGTCCATCTTAAAGCTCCCATATTTCCTCTCTTATTATTCATAACAAATATTATTAGGCACTATGGAGTTAAAATAGAAGTCCAAAATTGACTACAAAATACACTGATTAGTTCGCCCACTCAGAAGAATAAAATTATTAAGCCACTTTACTAAAGGAATTAGAGAACTATCACTGTGAGATGAACAGTTTTTCCATTTCAATCTTAAATTACTTAATAATATTATTAGAAACTAAATATGGTTTTATTTGTTTCATTCATCCATCCATCATTATTCTTTTTATTTATTTTGTATTTTTGACTTAGAGGCAAATTTCTGTCAGTATTTGAAAAGTAAAATCTAAAAGTTTGATGTTACGTTTTAGGAACTTTAGACCAAACAATTTAGTTAAGCCACTATCATTATGATGTCAAGAAAGGGATTTGCAAGAGAATGCATGAGTGTTAGTTACTAAAGATGGTGCATCAATGTCTCTAAAAAGCATAAGTCCAAATGTTTTATAACCATAAATACTGACAGGTATTTACACACAAAGCAGCTCATATTCGCTTGCCACAGAAGTTTGCTTCTATCATGTAGTGTCATCTACCACTGTGTAATGCTCACTTTATGTAATTGGCAGCAGCTTTATCTTAATATTTGAAACATCTTGGTTACATAAATCTATAATATCCTAAGAATATTTGCTTTAAAATATCTTTATCTTTTTTTCATGGAGATTCACAGCTATCTTTTAAAAAAATGTAGTGACTTAGTCACCTAATAACTTGCTGAATGCACTGCTGTATTGATAAGTCGGAAACTAGTTTGCACAGTAAATGAAAAAGACACCAATTTTTGAAATTATTAGCCTTCACTACTCTTTTTCAAGATTTATTTTTATTGTTTTCAATTGTGTATGTGTCTATATGTGATGTGATGTGTGTGTGTGTGTGTGTGTGTGTGTGTGTGTGTGTACATGTGGGAGGTATGAGCATGAGAGTCCAGGTGCCCACAGAGATCAGAGGCATAGGATCCCCAGAGCTGGAGCCACACATGGTAGTTGTGAACCACTGGACGTGGGTGTTGAGAACAGAACTTGGGTCCTCTGCAAGGGCGGTATAGGCTCTTAATCTCTGAGTCATCTCTCCACCTGAGCCTTAACTACTCTTTGCTATGACATTGCATATAAAGCTCTCAAAAGTTGCAAATATCAGTTTTAGTGAATTTTAAGGTTTTAAAAGAAGTTAATACTTGATATTATGTTACTTAAATATATGAAATTTTAACACTTGTATTGTTAATTATACTCTCATAACATAACTACTCTCATAACATCAGACTTTAGCCAGTTTCCACTTTCCTGCCACCATGGTGTTGCAACAAATATCACAAAATGAGCCTCCTGCTGGACATGCATGTCTGCTTCCACGCCTTGTATAATGAAGGTGCAATTACTGCATCACAGCATCAGAGCACTCCAATTTTAATACATTGCAACAAATTGCTTTTAAGTATGCTAATTTACATTCTCTCTCTGAGTACTGTATCCTGAATTCCTATACTCAATTAACACTTTATATTTTCAAATCTTTTCTTTCTATTCAATGACCTATGAGAAACAAATATTTCACTTATATTCATCAAATTATTGAGGATGAGAGTATTTTAATGTTCACTGTTTAATTATATTCTATTATTCATACCCCTGATACATTTTTTCTATGTTGTCCTTCTTGCTGGTTTCTAGGAAGTTTAAATATAATCCTTTATTTCATACATGGCAAATCACAACTCTTTGCTTCTTAGTTCTTGGGTCCTTCTCAGACACAGTAATAATACAGAAACTGTGACCACACTGTGAGATTTATAAGAGCTTCATTGTTCAAAAAGTGAAAGGTATTACAAGGCTTTAGGATGGTTTTGAGCAACATTATTTCTCCTTCATGCTCATATAATAATATTCTGTGGTTTGAAGTGATGAAGAGAGAGGTAAGCCACATGCATTTATACATTTGTTTCCTATCAATTGGATCACTGAAAATTATAGAAATACTCACTTGCCATCCTTGAACCAGTGAATGACAGGGAAGGGCATGCCTTTGACTTGGCACTGCAGGGTGGTGTTGTGGTTGAGAACAACTGAGGCTTCATTTGGGGAACTGGCACCTATTATGGTAGGTGGGACTTAAACAGAGACATTTTATCATTAAAGTCTATGATCTGAGGAAGAAGCAAGTAATCAGTGGTTATCACAGCATTTCAAAAATATTTTAATGCCATAAATAAAACACCCCACATTAACCACTTTTCAAATCATACCTGCGTGCTCAAATGTTAAGTTTAAATATAGGAATATTTGCATGAAATTTTGTTAGCAGGACTATTACCCACAAGAATAATGCTAGAACAGAATTAATTTGCAAGCATAGTAAACTCATGTGCAAACCTCATATATACAAGCAGTGCGGTTCTTAGGGTACAATGCACTACTGCTCTGCCTTCAAGATAATGAATGATATGGTCAATATCAATCTTATAGGATTCAAATTCCACCTATCATGCCGTGTCTATTAAGGTCTCTTTTAAAGGATGCCTACACAAAAATGGCTATGGGATACAGCATGAAAGATAATAGCCAGCTTTTAGTTTTTATTCTTACAGCCATCAAACATATTTAAAAAGCTCCTGCATATTTTCCTCATCATCCAACCCTCTCCTCATCATGTTACGTGGTCTGGTGTTCATCTTCAGAAAGTTACCAGACACTGAAGGGTTTCAGTAGGGATGAGGTATGGCATGATAAGATTAGCATGTTAAGACCTCACTGGCTGCTGAGTGAATAATGGATTAGAGTGATGAAGAGTGGGGTGCAGGCAGACAGCAAGGGCACTATTACCAATGACAATATGCCTTCACAGTGGAATGGAAAAGTTAAGTAACAACACAGAATTGGAAAATAGGCAGCAGAACATAGGTAAGTTTCAGGAGTTCTGCAAACGCAAGGGGATGAATGGAAATGCAGGTCACTCACAGGAGATCGCTAACTTTCCTGGAACGGATATACATTTGGATCTTTCTGTTTGACATAACACCAAGGCATTCAGTAATACATAGAGAAGATATTCAAGTCAAGATGCTGAGGAAAGAAGTGCATGGTGGCATACACCCTGCAATCCCCCCATTCTGAAAGCTGAGGCTGAAGGATTACAAGGTTGAAGCCAGCTGTGTTACTAATGAGACTCTCTGAAACAAAATCAAAGTAGTAAATAAAAATACAGAAAAAGATACTAAGGTGGAGTGTACAAAGAAGTCCCATCAGCAGACAGATGGAATGAAGAAAACATGCCGAGGCTAGTGATAAGAAAGATTTCTGACTTCTTAAATGGCCTGTAGTTAAATGTAATGTGGCAATTTAGGGAAAAAAGAAATGTAAAGTACTTCAGCCTTTGGTGAGGAGAAGACTTATTTTTGTATTTATGAATGTTAATTTTTATGAATATATCACTCTAAGTTTTGCTTCCATTACAAATTCACAAATTACATGACTATTTTGATGAACAAAATACTGAAAAGTGAGAAAATCATTTATCACAAAATGAACATAAAATGTGAAATATGATTTCACTAAGTAAATGTCAAGTTCATGGCTGCTATTAAAAGTGCTGTTTATCCTGCTGAATTACAATGACTGTCTACCCGCAGAAGTCCTGCTGTCCCAGCTCCTTCCCTTCTCTCAGACTGCTCTTCCCTTAATTACAGCCAGGGCTGTTTTTGCTACAACAACTAATTGGAATTCTTGGAATATGGATGAATGACCTTTTCCACTTCAGCTGCATCCTACTGGCTTCAGGAGCTGTCTCAGGCATGATCACATAGCACTCACTTGCACAGCTAAGCTGCCTGTGTACAGTCATTTCTCTATGCAGTTTCTTCCTAGAGAACTGCTTCCTGCCCACCCATCTGAGAATTGACATTTCCTTTTTAATACACATTGTACCACTTCTTTCTGTCTTTTCTTTCTTTCTCTTTTGTCTTTTGAGACAGGTTCACACTACGTAGCCCAGGCTGGTCTCAAACTCACAGAGATCTACCTGCCTTTGTCTCCGAGTGCTGGGATTAAAGGCATGTGCCACCATGCCTTCTCAGATTGTACTGTTTTGAAGTATATGATACACTGAAGTGCATGAATCCAAGCCATCTGTGTATTATAAAGAACAAAACTTTCTTATCATATGGTGCTGGTTAATCAAATTTGTAGAAAATAATAGCAGTGAACAATATTTCTTTGGTCATTTTTTAAAATCTATTTTGTCATACAGTCAGAAATGCATCTAAGTTGTAGGTTTATTTTATATATAAGAAGACGTTTTCCTTACCTAGCACATCAATATTAAAGTACTTCTGAGAAGTGCCTGCAATATTGATGGCTTTGCAGGAATATCTTCCCGCATCCTCTGCAGAGGCTTTGAAGAGCTTTAGTATTTTCCCATTGTTGACAAACTGAACAGTGCTGCTTTCAGTCACCTGGAAGAGATGGAATACTGTTATTTCCAATGCTAATAAAAATTAATAATTAAAACATAAAAATGTCTATTATCACTAAGTAGATATTCATCTCTGAACAGTTTCAGTGGCAGAGGCAAGGAACTGGACACATCTGGTCTGGATGTCTCCATTTACCTGGGTGTCATCTTTATACCACATAATGATGGGTGATGGAGTTCCTTCTGCTTCACAATAGAGACTGGCCAGCTGGTTTGTCAACACGGATACATTTGTCACATGTTCTTTATCTTTAATTACAGGAGGAACTGCAAAAAAAAGAGAAGTCATGCTAGACAGTCTGGTAATAAATACTATTTTCCAAGTTCCTTTACAAAGTCCTTTAGAAAGAAAATTCTAAGACATGTGATGGTTAGAAAGGCTAGCCATGTGCAAGAAAATGCCTTCTTATAAAATGAAAAGTCCTGGGGGCTAGAGAGATGGCTCAGTGGTTAAGAACACTGGCTGTTCTTGCAGAAGACCTGGGTTCAAATCCCAGCACCCACATGGCAGCTAACAGCTGTCCATAACTCCGGTTCCACGGGATTCGACAGCCTCTTCTGTCCTCTGTGGGCATTGCACAGCACGAGTGCACTTACCTACATACAGGCAATACACGCATACATATAAAAAATAAAAAAAAATAATAAAATAAAGTGAAAAGTCTTAGATAAAGCACTTATCAATAAAACCCCCATGTAATACTTTACTTTATGTCACGTTTTGAATTTGGGATGAAATACAGGATAAATAGAAGGAAGAGTGTATTTCACATATTGAGAGAATTCTGATTTTCATTTCAGTCACATGGTACTCACTGAATCGATGTTTAAATATTGCACTGTCTATGGAAGCCAACAGTCAACAGATTTTAAAATTCACACACCTTTTTACTTATGCAAAATGACACATGCATAACATTTTAAAGGAAGGCTTACTTAATTGTAAAAATCCAGTAACAATTTAAACACTCAATAGAGGAAAACTAAATAAATCCCAAAAACCCACGCAGTGAGATGAGATAATAAATTATCTTGATAATTCCTAAGATGGATTGCTCAATGAAGTTGACTTAGGTGTGAAGAGTGGATATAATATTTTACTATATTTTTCCTTTTTATAAGTAAAACTGGGGTTAAATATTACAGATTTCGTATTTATGTGTACCTAAAATTAAAAAAAAAAATTTGAGAAAGTTCCCCCAGCACCAGTATGTGCTAAGCTGAATGTTTTCCTCTAGAGAGGAGGAGGCTCGATGTAGGATCACTAGCCTTTCACTGTGTCTTTTTTCTATCATTTGAATTTTGACTGATGGAAATTCACAACCAAAAATTGAACAAACTTTTGAATCAAATAAATAAATGCAACCAAATTACAGTTCCCTGTTTGATGATACACATTAGTATTAAGTAATGCAGTGACTAAAATTTACATATGTAAAAATTAGAAACAAGCCCCTTCTTCATAAAGTTGGTTTCAGTGCTTTAGTTTATATTTACCGTGCACTTTGAGGTTATATTTCCTTTCTGTGGTTCCAGCTTCATTGATGGCCACACAGATATAATCACCATTGTTGTTTGGTGTGACAGAATTAATTGCCAACAGTCTGCCATCTTCCAAGATGGAAACACCAGGCTCTTTCCCTGTCACCTCTTTGCCATTGTGTAGCCATTTGATGGTTGGTTTAGGAGTACCTGAATAGGAAATAAAAGGCTTTTTATAACAAAATTAGAAATCATTATTAAACATCAAATACATCAAGAACAGACAAACTTTCTGTTATGACTAAAACTTGTATCCTTAGGGCTGGTACCCCCTTCAAGATCTCTTTCCTGGTGTGGAGGTGTAAATAGACTATAGTGCATTCATGACTAATTCCTGATCAGTCCTGAGAACTATGGCTTCTTTTATAAAGCTGATCCAAGCTGTTTTATCAAAAATCTCATATCATAACAAGAAAAGCATTTTTCTTGGTAAGTTCAGTGACCAGTGTTAAAAAAAATGTGTATTAGCTAAACATAGATATATAGAGAGAGCTAACATATATAGGGAGGATGGACGTGATATAAGGACAGAGCACATAGTTGCAGGAATATACCATGAAGAATTGTATTCTACAGTTTAGTCTTGAAAAAGTCCTATTTAATAAATATAAGGAACTTCCACTATCTACATATGTCTTTTAAAATCTTATCAGTTAAACAAAAGACATAGCACAATTCTCTCCAGGTCTTGCTTTTCTAATTCTCAATGGCTCTGGGAACGGTTACTGATAATTCTTTAAATGTCTAAAAAACTTGTTAAAGTTATCTTTCTTCAAATATTGAAGATAACTACTGATGAAAGACTCTAACCATCGCTATAGAAAAGCAGGCAGAAATGAGGGCCCCCTCCAGGAACAACTAAGAAGAGATACACTTTTGGTGGTGATGCTGGCAGCCACCCAGAGCCCACTTGCCAGGAGGTTACACAAAGACCCCTGCTTGGACTTTTCCAGGATTGCTACAAGTCAAGTTTGAGCTACTGGAGATAAATGTGTGTGTGTGAAAGAGGGAATACCCTAAACTGTGTACTTGGCACCCCAAGTAAGAATGCATAGACAAGGGCTCTTTCACATCTCCCCTGTGGAGAGACACTGGGCAGTCTCCTGACAGGAAATATAGTGGCAAAGAAATCCCAGAAGCTCAAGGAAAGGAATGGTTTAAACTGCTACCGAGATATATGCTGCATGTGGCCTGATGTGGTAATTACCACTGAGCACAGACCTAGAAAAAGAAGGTTTTAAAAAGTACTTCAGACAAGGGGCTAATTCTAATTATACCCTTTACTAGTTGACACTAATAGCGAGTATTTTGAATAGTTCTCCTGTCATATGTTACAAAGAAACTTTTCACCAAAAAATGAAATGAGAAGTAATAGAAAGGACATGAACATCTTAAGTTGGAAAACATCTTAAGATTAAGCAAGTTTGAAAGACTGGGACACCTTTCTATTGAAAGAAATAAAATAATTGGGAGGGAAAATATCTGTTCACAGAATCCTTGTTTGAACCAGGAGAGTTTCTATCGTGTTCAAATATTATAACAAAGATTAGCAGGTAGAATTGTATAAAGATAATATGTTGGGTGCAACACAGACTCCTAGAACCATATCACATCATTCCAACATTCCTTCTATCCATGCCCGCATCTCTGAATATTACCTACCTTTTGCAGGGCATGGAAATGTGATGCGTTGGTTGGCCAGTCTTTCTTGGAATGGAGTGTTAAAAGGAGGTTCCAGGTCTTCTACTGTAGGTGGTTCTATTATAAAAACAAATGCATTATCTCGTGTTTCTCTTGGGCAATTTCAAATTCTTTGAAGGCACTGATAAGGGGTTGCTTCCTCTGATTCTTCCTGAGTCACATTTGCATCTATCTGAACGTTCTACTTAGATGTCATTCAGGGGTTCAAAACTCAAAATCCCCACGAAAAACTCATTATTTAGTGTTTTCACATTCCCATTTGAGTTCCTTATTCTTTGATGAAGGCATTATGGTTTATCTAGTCATTTTTCTGTCTCCTTTCTTCTGACCTGTGCCTCTGTTCACATACTACCATGTATGTTCACACACCTATATCTCCTTTCTATCCTCAGATCTCTGCTCATGTCAAAGCTTTACACTTACCTATTTTCATTTGCTTCTTATTGGAACACTATTACCCAAACCAGTCTCTTTTGGATTAATGTTCTACAGCATCCAGGATATTCTTGTCGGAACACAAACCAGTGTTTGCAAATGTTGTGCCTCTGAGATTTGTGGGAACATTATAGAAATGCCCAACCTTCCCATTTGAATCTAACAAAAGCACTCAGTAGTACAGTTTGTTGAGTGAATGAACGAACTGGATGACCCCTCCATTAGTGTCCTAGCCACTCATCCCCAACAAAGTGCAGAATATCAAGCACAAAACGCTACTATGTTCATGAATAAACCTGCTTGTTCTTACTTTTTGCCTTTGCACTGGCATCCCTCTGACAGAATAAGTCTGACAAATTCTATTGACCAGTTCCTGCCAGCCAGTACGATCTCACTCTAAGTCTCACTCCCTCAAAGAATTCCCACCTGGCAATCCAACCCAAAGCTGTTGATTCTGGAAGATTCTCCCCATTTCGATTTTCTCCAGCACACTCTTCCTGACCTACATTCTTTGTCTTTCTCAGCTTGTTTTCTGCCTACTCCACTAGAACAGCTCATAAAAGCATGGGCTTCACCTTTGTCACTACTTGATCATCATAGCCTAGAACACAACAGACACCTGGCCCAGGAGTAATGAACATGTTTCTTGAAGAAATATATTTTGGTTCCAAACATCAAGATAAAGGCACCAATAGAGGAGCCATGAACCACAATCCTCCAGGGGTCAGTTGGGGTGAGCTACGAGGTGAACTCCCACTCCAACCAGCTCCAGCTCCAGTTTCTCCCAATGCAGAAATGCTTGGTGAGACATTATCTGGCACTGCTTTTATTATAGACACCAGTAACTTCAGTTTCAAAGTAAACATAAACACTTCATGCATGCTTAGCAATAATATGGGTTCATTTGCTTCTGGAACGAAGCGTCCTTCAAAGCTAGAGTCATAAAAGACACTATGTAGAATTCTTCCTAAAGAGATCCAAGATTACACATCCCCCATGGAGACCAGGGCTTTTCCTCCACCCCCGCCATACTAGGCATGTTTCCTATATCAAAACGCACCTTGGACATGTAGTGTGATCTCTGTTTCATCGCTGCCTGCTATGTTAGTGGCAACACATGTGTATGTGCCTGCGTCTGACAGCATTGCCTGCTCGATGCTCAGTATTCCATCTGGACTGCTAGACTGCTGCACTCCATCCACCAGGACAGTTCTTCCATTTTTATACCAGGTGATCACAGGAGGTGGAGACCCATGGGCATTGCATGGGATGTCCACTCTTTGACTGACTTGGACTTTCATATGTTTAGGGCCACGTTGTAGTTTTGGAGGAACTGGAATCCATAACTGAGTATCAATAAGCCAATATTTAAAAGTTCCCACATTTTCTGACTCTAAGTAGAACTCCCTCCCAAGAGGTCACATGAAAAGACTAGACTAATCGCATATTAACAGTGAAATCTAGGACAGGCCAACCAACTTCTTGAGGCCTATTTCTTTAATAATCTACGCAAAATAAACTTCAGGCACAATACCAGCACACTACGGGAATTATAGGAAACAACAAATATAATACTCCTAGGTCTAAATTTGATGAATAGTAAGCATTTCACAATGGTGAACTTCCTTTATACGTAACGTAAGTTTTGAAACCTTTTCAAAAAGCAATTGAGATAACCTCTAAAACATCAGAGCAAAATAAAAAGCATTGCTCCCCACGGAGTCAGTTTTTCTACTCTTTGTGGAAGAATTAGAGAACAGTAAACACTCTCATAACATGTTTTTAATTTCAAAAAAGAAAATCATGCACAGTTTTTAGCTTACATCTTCCTTAGAAATGTTAACAGTGCAACTAGAAAGGGAGTCTTGCGCTGTGCACTCTAGAGTCATTTTGAGCTCTAGGGCCCTAATTAGAATTCAGCACCGTGCATTTTAAAAAAATCTCATTTGTCTGTCCTTTCTCATTAACTTAATGAACATTTTATAAGGACTATCAGTCACAACAATGTTCTAAGTTTAATAGTACTGCCATTGTCATTTTGTAAAAGCCAAAAACTAAAGATAAGAGAAGCTGGGTAATGTGCCTAGGCCCAAGAGCTGGTAAATGACAGAACCCTCTTCTGAGGTCAAATCTCAGTGTCAGAGGCACACTATTGCAGTTACTAGTCTAAAAGGGAAGTCAGGTCCATGCTATCCAAGATGATTTGTTCTGACATTTGGCTATCTGGTGTCTAGACAGTACCTGGTATAGGGACACTCAGTGTACTGCACGAATGAACAACAGGATAAAACGAAAGAACAAAACACATCAGAGAACTGTGAAATGATCAGATAATATGAGAAAGCAGAAATTTCCCAGTTGCTGTGTTAATTAAATGTTAAGTATGACTATTTAAAAACTATTTAAGGCAAGTGTGGTGGCACATGCCTTTAATCCCAGCACTCAGGAGGTAGGAACAGGTGAATCTTTGTGATACTGAGGCCAGCCTGGTCTACACAACAAGTTCTAGACCAGCTGGGGATACAAGGAGACCCCATTGCAAAACAAACAAACAAAAACAAACAAACAAACAAAAAACCAAACTATTAAATTCCTCTGTGGGAATACAACAGCTTCCACAGTTTAAACACACCCACCTTCACTTCTGGTGGATGTCCACACATAGAGACAATTGACTGTGGACATCTAGAAGAAGTGAAATCCAAAATTTAATTAGTTCATTTGAAAAAGGACAAAGGGAGAACTATTTATAGGCAGAAATGAACTTTTCAGAGTAAATATAAGAACACCACATATCTTCGATTTTAAAATCTGTGGTCACTCTACATACAACGTGGAGGTTAATCATCAAACAGATGGGGATCCCTGTGAGCCAGTGAACAGAGCTTCCACGGCGGTCATTGTAAAACTCACCGTGGACACTTAGTTTGACAGACTGAGTCACGTTTCCAGCAATATTAGTGGCAACACAAAAATACATCCCGCTATCTGAGATGCGAGTCTCAGTGATCTTCATTGAGCCAGAAGGGAGGAACGTGTGTCTAAGAGGAAAATCCACAGGTCAGACTGTAGAACATAAGAAGACAAGCATCCCAGAGCTGCATCCAGTGTGAAACTACTGCTTGGTCGGCAACTTTGGAAACTGGTCTCCCCTCTGTAACACATATCTACTGACATGAAAAAACTGGAATTTCTATAATCATCTTTCATATTCTTTATGAGTACTAATATGCACAAATCAGTTTTATCTTTAAATCTAACTTAATTATTTAAAATCATCAAGTAGTTATATACCTTTCTGCTTCAATAGGTTCCACCTATACAGAATAAATATGTATCTTAATAAGTTTTAAATTTATTTTGAACAATTTTTCTTCTTAAGCTTTTTATTAGCATGTATA